GACCAAACTATACAGCCTGAGTGGGCAACACGACAATGACAAATGTGATCAGCGAGACAAAATCGGATGGATACTAATCTTAGTCCGTGGTAATTTCCAAGTCTTAAGTTAGACAAGGAACGATAAGCAATGAACTAGTGTGAAATCAGTTAAAATTACTAAAAATACGGGAAAATGACCTTAAATTGTATAAAAATGACTTAAAAAGTAATACATACAAAAAAATGCAAAATAAAAATTAGCTATTCATATGCTAATGAAACACATTTGTGGCTAGGAGAGGAAATGATTCTTCAAAAATGAACATGTATATGTGTGCATAAAATCTTAATATTTGGACCCAGTTCACATATTATTATATTATACAACTGATCTCTTTATTACGAGCCTTTGAGTCTGTTGTGAACATGTATTAGATTTGATGTGTACATGCATAGAATGATAGAATGAGTTTAATATTTGATAAGCACTCCGAGAGTATATTTTATACCTATACGTAAATACACTAGTACTATGTCGTTGGTTTTTAGTACGAACTTTAAAATTGTGTTTTGAATCGGAATATTCCCCATATCATTAATTACATTTAATCAAGGTATTTAAATGTTTTTTCTTATTTTGCATTTTTTTAACAAAGAGAAAAAAATAGTATTGAACACATTTATACGAATTTATACGTATGTTCTTCTTTCGAAACATACCATTTTCATTACACTAATTAGGAACGCATTTAAATTATTTTTTGTGAAGATAAAAAACACATTTTACTTTTTAACTAGTGAAAAAACTTCACAGACTAAGTATTCATCCAGATACAGCTATTTTGGATACATGGTCTGATGGTCAAATGGAAATCAATCCAGATGATGTGATGGATCATTATTCGCAAACGAAAAAATATAGTTCTTTTCATCATATTTAATATGTAATTGTTACAAGAATATGACTTCTATACTCATGTTTCATGTTATTCATAAAATAATGTTTCAAGTTTCTATAAAATAAATATGATAGATGTTCATGCAAAAATATAATTGAGTGTTAAATTATAAAATAATCAAATGCATAACAAGCTATTGTATAAGTTGTAGTTAAAAAAATACCAATTATGAAAAACAAATGTGTTTACATTATAAATTATGATAATGCAATGATTACCAATATTTACTATATTATTATTATTTTACTTTATACATTTTCTTATATATAGATAACCTTATATTTTTTTCTCACCATTGTACACATTATAATAGCAAAAATGACTTAAAATCAAAGGGTCAAGTTCTGAATTAATTGAAGTACAATGTTTCATTAGTTACAATAAATACATATTGTAAAGCTGTTACTCTAATGATACCTTAGTACATAGTAAGTATACATATTACATTACAGTTTATAATTTCAAAGATTCAAGTTTAAATAAAAAAATGAATTAAAAATAATAATAAAACGCCACCACTGATTTGACAGTTTAAAGTTATTTATAAATTTAATGTTTCATGTTTCTATAACATAAATATGTTCGATGTTTATTCAAAAATTAGGTACCAAATTACCTTAGTTGTTTGAGAACTAAAGTCTAAAAACGTTGAATATAAAATTATCAACCGCTGGAGTGTTGCAAAGTATAATTTTCGAAACAAATTACTAGATTAATCATCTGTTATAAATAAACTAGAATAAACACAAAATAAATGATAAAAAGTCAGTTGCTTAATATTAATTGTTATACTTGTTAGCGGTTTTAGTTTAACTATTGTGAAATGTGAATGACAACATAAGTTTTAGTTTCATATTCCAGAGCGGAATATTTTTCTCATAACATTAATAAATAATAATTGAATGTAGGACGAGTAGCTTATGTGATATAACAAAAAGCATTTAAAATTATTGATATCAATTCTCTGCTTTGAAAAATTAAATTAAATCTTATTTTGTTATTCAAAAGAGTAAGCAACTCAAAACAAATGTTCCAGACACAGAATTTTCAAAAAAAAATATATTCTTATATTTTTTTAAACAAAGAAAAACACATACTATTTGAAAAAAACGACTTAAATATAAAAGGATCAAGTTACGAATTATTTAAAATATACTAATACGTTTTATTAGTTGTACAATAAATACATATAATACAGGTGTTCCACTATACATTTTGTAGGTATATAATAATAAAATGTTTCTAATTCTATAATATAATTATAATATACAATATTAAAAACAAAATTGGGTTTGAATAACAATGTATTATTCATTTAAATATTGCATATTCGTATTATGTAAAATAAAAATACAATATCGGTGTTTATGAAGTAAAGTCAAATAACTTAACTATAGCGATCGTGTAGTTACCATCAATCGGTAGTATAACCTAGCGTCACAATTTCTAAATGCACTGTCACATTAAGACATTAAGTTAACCTAACAGTCGATGGTAACCTCAGCTGTATATTATTATTTATAAGTTATTATGATATACAAATGATTTCATAATATAATATATTAATACAACGACGATAAGTGAACAATGCGGTATGATGTTATAATTTATAATGTCAATATTTATTAAGATAACCTGAAGCATGGTGGTGAATTCAAGATATATCGAACAATTCTTCTCTCAACGTAATTACTGAGTTAAATGTTTATCATGGTAACAATCATAAATAATATAACTTACAATAATAAGTTTGTGTTGTTTACATCTAATATTACATTTTAATTTATAATAGATAATTGATTCAACGATTTTTTTTTCATCATACATTATGGGAACTAATTCAACTGTGTGATTTTCAAATACAACACTCACACAGTGAAAAAGTTACCTTGATGTATGACAAAATAGGTAATGATATGAAAAATAATAAGAAAATAACATTATGAAGATTATAACATACGTATAACTGCATATAATATCTAATGTCAAAGAAAAATAGTAAAATAAATATTATAATTTACATTAGTATAATTACAAACATGGAAATATTGTGTTTTGATGTTCAAAAATAAAAATATACATGCATGCAATAATATAATTAAATTATGATGTTTAATAT